CAAAATCAATTTTTTCTGGGTAAATTACAGCCTGAAAAGCTCAGCACATAATTAGGTGGCCAATATCCTGAGATATTAGTTAATGGTTTGTGTTCATTATGACAAACGAAACAGTATACTGAATGCTCTATCTTCCCTCGTAGCAAAACAATAAGCAAACCTAAAATACCGAGATGTTTCCATGATTCGTCAATTTTGAAATGCACCTGGTTCAGAACTTTCCACGGATCTGCTCCCATACGGTCAAGTTTGTTTATAAATGCAAGTCTTGGAACCTCATATCTTCTCATTTGTCGATCAACAGTAATTGACTGACTTTGCACACCACCAACACTACAAAGGACAAGAATGGCACCATCAAGAACACGCAAAGCTCTCTCAACCTCAATGGTGAAATCAACATGACCAGGGGTGTCTATTATGTTAACCTGCGATAGAAAATTTATGGTTAATGGAAACATTTTTTTTCTTCTATTCTGCAAATTATTTAACATAAACACAAAGTTGAAGTATTGCAGCTCATAAATTCAACATATTAACTCATCAGTTTCAAGACTAACCACACGGCAAAAGGGTAAGATTACTAACCTCAATTTACTTTTTGACAAGTAATAGTTTTACTAAAGAGAAAGAAGCGAAGGGAAACATGCAAGAGAATCTAAATCTTACTTGGTGATTTCAAAGGTTTTTATTTAGTTTATATATGTTGGAAAAGACAGTACGCCAAATATCTACAATGCTAATTTCATTTAGCATTAGTAGCTTCGGACAGAACATTTTAATACTGCATGTTCCTACTAACTCCAAGAGTAAGGTAACATTCTAATTTGCTACGCACTCCCTTTGGTGTTCCCAGGTCTCTCAAGTAAGAACAAACGTATCAATAAAAGATTACCCAGGTCCATCTTCCACCAATTCTCGTCATGCAATAGAACTAGCTCAAGCCTCTTGCACGTTCCAGGTATAGAAAGAAGCAACAAACCGAATGGTCATTCGATATTCATGTATATCTTAAACTCAAAATCCAAGATTTTCAAACATTTGCTAGAATTTTCACTAATTCAAAACTTATATTTAATTGTCTTTGACTTGTAACATTAAAAGTAGAAGCATATCAGAGTGATCACTTCCTCCATTTTCAACAAGTTTATAAATTTGACAACCCAACTACATCTTATATGCCAAGTTTCCATTTCCCCATACTTTGAAATAAAAAATCACTGCCCACCATTAAAAGATTCAAATTTCCATCAAATCCCATTACTTTCCGAGTAAAAGACAGAAGCAAAGCCAAAAACCAATAATTACAATTACCTGATAGCCATTCCAAGTACAATAAGTGGCAGCAGACTGAATGGTAATCCCCTTCTCTCTTTCCAAATCCATGGAATCCATTTTCGCGCCAACTCCATCTCTGCCTCTAACCTCATGAATCTCATGGATCTTCCCAGTGTAAAACAGAACTCTCTCGGTGAGGGTGGTCTTGCCGGAGTCGATGTGGGCCGAGATTCCGATGTTTCGGAGCTTGTCCATGGAGTCCTTCCACCATGGCTCTTTGTCCTCCTTGGCACGTGCGAGATTACCGGAAGAGAATTGGCGGAGGTGGAAAGAGCCGAGGAGGAGAGAGGAGGCTGGTGATGGAGAGGGAGATGGGGATGGAGAAGGAGACTGTACCGTTTTGGATGGGCTGGTGTAGAGGGTGTAGAGGAGGCGTGGTGTGGAGGGTCGAGAGAAGCGCGACATGGTTGTGGTGTCTCGTTTTAGGGCTTTTGTGGGGTTTGACGTAAAACCCTGAACCCTTTGGCACACTGCCCTCTCTGCTCTCACAGTGCGAGTTGCTTGTGGTTTTGACTTTTGAGAGTTATGCTTAGGCCTTTTACAATCCATTTGGACTAAACCCAAATTTTACCTCTCTAAAAAATAATTATTTGGGTTTTACCTAGACTCAACCCGTTTTTTTCCCCAACCTTCCGAACACAAATTTTAAATCCGCAACTTTATTAAATTGTTTAAAAATGATTTAAGTTTAATTTTTTTATGAACAACTTTTCTTCATTTAATCTTATTAAATAACTTCATAATTTAATTTTTTTTTAAATTTGACCTAAAAAAATTGAAATTCCACAAATATAATTTTATTCCAAAAGAAAACACAAAACATTAAAAAAAACACAAAAGGAGGAATTGAAACAATTGTCGACCTCATTCACCATCACTAAAGCTCCTCCAAATGTGATCGATCAAATCATGTCAGAGACACTGATGCACATGTGGAGATCGAACTCTATTATGACGAATCATGTAATCAGAGAAAGTCTGCCTATATTTATGGTACTTGTATGTAATGTTTGGCTCCAACTCATATTGTTTTGCTCTAGCCCTTCTGGATCGTTGTAAACCCGTATCCTCATCATCAGATTCCTTTTCAACATATTCATACTCATATTCCACAATCATGTTGTGCAAAATTATACACGTCATCATGATTGAGTGGAGGTTATCCTTGCACCACATACGTGCAGGGCCCCGAACAATAGCCTATCGAGCCTGTAGTATTCCAAATGCTCTTTCAACATCCTTCTTGTATGTTTCTTGCATTTGTGCAAAAAACCTTTTATTTAGGTTATCAGGAGGAGAAGAGATGGTCTTCACCAAGGTAGCCCAACGGGAGTAGATCCCATCTGCCAAATAGTAGCCCAAATGGTATTGATTTCCATTAACAATATATCCAACATAAAGAGCCATTCTATGTACCACATCATTGAACAATGGAGAACGAGCTAAAATGTTGATATTATTGTTGGATCCAACGTCTCCAAAAAAAGACATGACATATCCATGTGTCGTACGAGGCCACGGCCTCTAGCACATTTTTTTTTTTTTTTTTTTTTTTTTTGTTTCGGTAAATTGGCATTGCCCAAGTATATGGGTAGTTCTTCCATTCCCAGTGCCTGCAGTCAAGACTTCTTAACATGCCTGGGAAGCCTCAACGGCTTGCCTTGTGCAATAGCCTGTAAAGGTCAACTGAATTTGGAGGCATGAGGTACCGTTGTCCATACACGGCTTCAATAGCGCAACAAAACTTACGGAGTGATTCCAGAGCTGTGCTTTCACCTAATCTACAATACTCGTCAGTTGCGTCAACCGAGCATCCCCATGCGAGCATACAAAAGACAACGGTTAACTTTTGCTTAGAGGATAGCCCTTGTCGGCCAAGCCCATCTTTTTTCTGGTGAAAATATGGCTTGTGGTTGACATCATCATTCAAGATGCGGTAAAACAACTCTTTCCGCATTCGGAACCACCTACGAAAGTCCGTACTATTAAAATGTGGCATTTCAACGAAGTAGTCGAACATGAGATTGCGATGACGATTTTCCCTTTCACGGTTCTTGTACTCACGACCGACTACCGACCCACCATATTTGGTGACTTCACACTCCAGTGAAGTATGGTGGACAATGGCTTGTATCACTTTATGATGATGTTCCTCATCATTTGAATCATCATTAAACATAAAGGAAAAGATGGCCTTGCCACGGTTATCCATTGAAAGCTTGAAATGATATGAAAAGTATGAGAATGAAGAAGATGATGTGCTTGAATGATATGAAAAGTAAAGTAGGAGAATGAAGAAGATGATGTGCTTGAAATGATATGAAAAGTATGAGAATGAAAGGAAATTGATGAAATTGACAAAGGAAAAATAAATTGAGAAATACAAAAAAATATTTTTGGTAGATTAATTGAGAAATGGAGTATTTATGGAGTTTGGAGTGAGTTTTAGGCTTAGATTTGATTTATATTAATTTAAAATATTATTTTGACCTTTGAATTTATCCGTTGGAATTTTTTTTTTTTACCGTTAAAATAACTTATATTTAATCTACATCTTTAGTTTAAGTTACTATTAGAATATTTATTAAAAAAAAATGAAATTTGAATTGTTGTCGTTGGATTCCAACGACAACATAACCAAAATGTGACATGTGGCAAGCTACTGCGTCAGGCAGCAGACAAGCACTGCAGCGCGGGCCCTAATCTGATTTCTTGCACATGGGCTACACCAACAGCATGTGGGCTCCATTGAAATTTTTTTAGGTCTAGGTAATAGCTGGACTGCTATTTGTCCACAAGTTTGAGTTTTCCCAAATTTTGGCTCCTTCATTTTCTTGGGTTGGAAGAGGTTTTGGGCTATAATTTGGGATATTTTGGGTTTGGCCTTATGGATTGGAGATGGCCTTATGAAGAGATTTTGAGAGCTGAGGTGGAAAAAATAAAACATATAAAAAATATTTCGGGTTGGTCTTAGTCCGGTCTGATTATTTGAAATTTTAGTTTCATGATCTGAACCATCTATTTTTTATGACCCAGGTCAAACACGACTCATAGGTAAAATAATCCAAATCAAGAATAATTAATCATCTAGTTGTTACTGGAAAACTAATCACAGTGAATTGGCTAAAAGCATTTGAAAGACTATAATAAAAATTAAATATCTAATGAATTTCCAATTTTGATGATTGTTTACATGAATGATCTTTGAAGGAAAAACTAACAAATGAATCATTTGAATCAGGAAATTACCAGTGTGAGGTAGTGCATGTGATTCCACACCCCTAATATCGCTTGTATAAAATAAAATATAAAATAAGAACAATTCTTACATTTTTCTAGCTAATTTTTGTAGTAAAATTGATAATATTGCACAGATGTGACAGTCTTGAAGTAGGAGTTTCTTAGTTGACTACTATAAGGCAAAATCCATGGGTCAATGAAATTGGTGTCAAAATAATGAACCTTTCTAAACCCTTAGAAAGGAATCAACTTGATGACAATAACAAAGCCTAACTTATATGATGTTTCTCAAAAGCAACAGATCTTGCATCCTAATGATGCTCGAGGGTCTTCAAATTTCTGCACAGGTTGTTGATCTTCTAAAGACTCGAAATGTATGGAAAGAAAGATTCTTTTCATGTATGTAGCAAAATGCTAATCCTCTACACAGGCTGCAGGGCCAACTCCATATTGGTGTTTTTATGATCAGAAGACTCTGCAGACGAAGCAGCATCATTGTGTTCATGACCCGTAGACTCCGAAGACGAAGCAGCATCCTTGTTCTCTCCAGAGTTCATCTCTTGAACTGGTGGAGGGGCAACAAGGGTCATCGTATTGGAAGTATTATCAGATAGGTGGTTCCTCATCTCCCTGTGCTCTTGACACAAAGCACACCAGTGCATGCAGCAGTGCACCAGGCATGGATCACAGGGTGAATCCTGCAGAAAAGTAGCACACTAAGTCAGAACCCATCACCACTATAGGTGTTAATGTTCAAATGAAATAATCCTAAAAGACTTCATTAGCTTTTTCAGGAAGGGAAACAGATTTCAGGGCTTTCTTTCCATAATAAAAGCTAACACTAAATTACTTTTTTCTGAAAGCAATTGTTACAAACCTCAAGCTACTCTTTCATAAACAAAATATTCTGAGTTTCCACCAAAAATTTAAAGCTGTAAATCTTGAGGTTTTGAAAACAGGAACCCTTGATATCATGTCTCAAGGGCCCCGGTATTAGCTCTAAAAATTGGAGTATCTAAACCATTTGATTACGAATGTGTTGATGGCTTCTTTCTACGACCACTTAGGTCTTTGATTTAGATACATCTTTTCAGCATGCAATGCTAGTCATCAGAGAAATTTAAATCTAGATATTGATAGCAGAAAAGTAAACAAATACATTTAAAGGCTAAAATTCATCCATTTCACATTCTATCTGGGAAACTGATTAACAAATGAATTTTTATTTATTTTTATCCTACTTAAGTTTAGAAGGAAGTATTGAAGAAAGATAAATTTCAAGCATATATATGAAAATAAATGAAGTCTACTAACACATAAAATTATCGAAGTAAACACTGATTAAAAAACAATCTTGTATCTAAAAGCTCTTTATAGCAGACAATGTAGATAATTGATTTGCTGACCAGCTGAGGATAGTGCAAAGGCAATTTAGCAAACAAACCATCTGGTTTACACACACACAACAAAAGAACATCACACTTGAACGGGAAAGTCAAACACATGAATCAACATTTCATAGTATGACATAAATTCACATCAGAAGCTATATATTATATGTGAGACAAGAAAAACTTCACCTTATTAAAAGTAGGGCCTATCACCAAAAGCCATTTGTGTACAATGCAAAATCATGGGGGAAAAAATTTAACAAAATAAATAGGAGAAAACATAAAATTATCTAAAGTACACAGGCCTTTTACATTTCAGAAAATTTATTCACATTCTATTCTTCCAGATGATCTGATTTATTTTGCATGTAATTCCAAGTTCAAGAAATATAAGAACTGAAATTCACCTTGAGATGATACTTCTTTTGCAATGACTGCCTAAACAGACCTGTGTAGATTGCACACATCCACCAGGCAAATAGCAATGTCTCACAGATGAGAACTGAAGTCTTAGGATCAAGACCATGAAAGAATCCTGTTGCTGCTGCAACTGCAATTCCTCCTTCAACACACATGGCATGGCAAACACAGGCATTGTTCCAGGGAATATCTTCTCGTATTGTTTCAACATTACGCCCAAACAGCACACATGGACAGAAAAGTCCAGTCCAGCCTGCAACATAAACACAATAAATTCAAGGAATTATGAATGATCAGGAAAATGTGATAAAATATATTCCATCAGGGTAGTGACATCTATTTTATCTCACTCAACTAATACTCTAAAATCTAAAAATCTTCACTCTTTTTCTTCAGAAAATCCAAACAAATCTAGGCACATTATGGTCTCAGCAAGGAACACAATATGTAAAAACTAGGAGAGTAACATAAATTTCCAAAATGCTATTCCTCTTTGGATACACAAAGCCTTCTGACCTGCTGAGGTGAGAACTGGTTGCATATAAAAACAATTTTGCTTAACTTGGACAATCTAAAGGTCTGACTTCCAAATCATTAGGTCACATTTTAACATTGTTTTTCTTTGCCTTATTAATCGTCATAAGTGGGACACATTTAACCCTGTTTTTCTTCGCCTGATTAATCAACAAAAGTAGAAAATTATGCTTTCAAACCGCCTCCCATCCCGAGAAAAAAGAAAACGAAAAGTGATACACCAGATGAACGCTTACAACTCTCAGGATCTTCAGCACAGCCAAATATCCCAGTTGTCCAATCTTCATCAGCTGGGGGTTGGTATCTTTCAGGCAGGGGTTGCCCACATTCCGCACATTTATCAACACTTAACTGTCCAATACGAAACATAATCATCAACACAAAAAAAAAAAAAAAAAAAAAAGACAATATTTCAACATTAGATTGAGGTACATCACATAGATAAATGCACACTAAAACATGTCACCTCAATGTCAGAAATATAATTAGCATTGCACTTATAATTTAAAAACAGAGGAGAGGTTTCTAAGAATATCAATTATAAGCAAACCCAGAAGCTAATTTGCAACAAGATAGAAGAAATCCTCATGAAAACACAAAAACAACAGAAAACCAACATCCAACATTATAATTTTTCTTAGATATTAACCCAAATTTGCGATTTTCTGCGAAAAAACTCGAAGCCCAGGAAGTGAAAGAAGGACCTGAGGAATTTGAATCGGTTGGTTGAGCTCTCCAGGGTTGATATCTTCCGTTGGCGCTTCTTGTTCCCTCGTCAGCTTCACGTACCTCGATTGGGGATTTCCATCAGCCATCTGGTCCAACCCAAACCCACATTATACATTTCCTTCATATTTGATATACATGTATGTATAACTCTTATATATAACGTGGATAAAAAATGGAAATCAGTGAGGAAAATGTACCTTGGAATTAAAGAAACACAAAAAAAGAAAAAATGGGAAAGCTACTCCAGATGTGGAGGAGTTTCTGAGAGAATGGTGTACAAATCTATGAGCCTGTTCTTTGTTGCTTTCTTTCTCAACGCAACGCGTCCTCTTCGGCTCTTCATTCACTCTCAAACGTCATGTCTTAATAGCAGCAGCAATTGGAAATGTACATCAATTTTGCATTGATGGAACAAATTAAGTATATAACAACGACGTCGTATTTCCACCATAGATCTTTTTTAATTATTGTTTTTTGGCTTTTTAATTAGTGTCATCGAGACGAAAAAAACTTACTTGTAACGGGAATATAATTGTTTTGCTATCTCGGTCAATAACATGATGACATATGTCATTGTGTTATTGACCTGAATAGTAAAAAGCGTTATCCTCATTACACGAGAGTTTTTCTCGATAGAGACGGATGGGGCCAATCAAAGAACCTATCTATGTTTTGTCAAAACTCACAAATTTATTTTGAAGTGGAAGAGTTCATAAAAAGTTTGTCCATATTTGTTCAAAATGAGGTGTGAAAATGGAGTGTACTTACTACATTATCTTCAAATTTTAAGTTCGGTGTTGAACTTGTCTAATATTTGAAGGGTATAGTTGAGATTAAACCGTCTTTGGGTGACAAAGAGGGTCCTCTTAAGTAATTATACTTGAACGAGTGCGTGATAACTATTTCATCCGCGCTAAGTTACTTATCTTACAACCACAATAAAGTTCAATTTTGGATATCTATTCATGGTAAGTTAAGGTTTTATTTATGGTTTATCACAATGTTAGTTTACTAGAGCTTTTTTGTTTTATTTTTCTTTTTATACGAGCAATATTAAATAGGAGCGAATCGAGTCTAGGACGTCGAATGCATAAGTAAATATTATTAACTATTTGAGCTACAAGCCCTTGCTATTGGCTCTTTAAAATGATTTAAAATCTTTTATGTATCCATCTTACAATTCTGAACCCTAAAGAAAAGAGAAAAAACATATATGAAAGGAAGCAACGGCCCAAAATATATCAACATGGGCCTCTGGGAAAGGATGAGATTTCTCAGAATAGTTTACAACAGATTGGCTAAACATCAGGTGTTGAATCCTTGACGTGTAGATATGAAAACCAACAAACAACATTAACAAGAGAAAAACGCCAGTTCTTTTCTTTTTTGCACTTCAACTCAGACGAGCCTCAGCAGATTGAAGAAAGAAAGAACAGCCATGGGAGGAGGAACCATGCGTATTGACCTGCCCACCATCCACATCAAACATTCTTCTTCTTCTTCTTCCAAGCTTCCAGTTTCATCCCAGTTATGTTGCCACTGTTAAACCCTCTTGTTCTGCTACATACTGTTTCTGTGGAAGTGAGAGTTGCAGAAAACTAGAGCTTGCATATGGAAAAGAAGACAAAAGAGCAAGTGGGTCTAATCTGAGCTCTGTTTTTGGGCCTGTTCCTTCCCAATTTGAAGTCCAAAATGCAATAACTGCTCTTCTCAAGTATGTATTATTATTTTTATTTTTTTTATACGAGCGATATTTTACTTTAATCTAATCTAATCTAAATTACCGGGAGGGGGATTCGAACTCAAGTAAGTATTATTAACTTTACAAAATTTGTAAATTTTTGGGGTATGATTCTTTTGATGGGGGTATGTTATCTACTCTGTTATGGAACTCAAATTTTGTCCACGGAGGAGATGTTCAATCAATCCCATGAAAAGCAGTCAAGATTTTACTTATTTTCATATAATCTAAATCTTTAGCTTTATTTTTATGTTTATATTTCCTTGGATGTCTTTTCCTTATTTTACTTGATGATTATATTTCCTCTCACGTTAATTTAGTTTTATGTTTTTGGAAAACTGATCAAATTTCCCATGCAAATTTCTTTTAGCTGACTTGATGACATGAAGGGAGGGAAAAACTGTGTTCATTAATGATTGCTTACACAAGCTTAACTTAAACATTAATAAATTATTTGATTTGATTAAGTGATTTGATTAACTTCTTGTTGATTGAGACTTTGAATGTTTCTGATATCATATTTCCATCTTGACCAGTTTTATGCAGGGGATAACTTCATCTCAGCCAGAGTTTCAATGGCTTCAGCAAATATTGGATTGCTGTGTTACAAGAAAGTTGCTCACCTATGGACAAAGAAGAGTTTATGAGGCTTTCCAATTGTTGCAGACGGATCCTTGTGTTAAGGTGTTTTCTCTTAACCATTTGAGTTACAAGTCCCTTGCTCGTCTTTTTCGTTGTGCTGTTTTTTCTCCCAAAATGTTACTTGAGTAATCTAACTCGAATGCAGAGACTGGTGGTCTCCCTTTCATCTGATAAAGCCCTATGGGAAGCTGTTACCAACAATGAGTTGGTCAAGAAGCTCCAAGAGCCTATCTTCCCTGGTATGCATTTCCACTTATCTCATACTTAATTTACTTGGAAATATTTTTTTTGGGGTATCTTAAATAGATTTCTGATGCACAAACTGGGCAACACCTATTTCATTGATGCATATTTGTTTTATTTTTTCTGTTATCAGTTGTCTTTCTACATTAACTGGTCTTAAAGTAGTGTTTTTGATAAACAGAAAAGTATAACTAGGAAACCACTTTGCTTTTATTCTTCCATGGCAATAAACATTGCCTTCTACTAAATTTATTTTCATTACACTAATCTCTATCTTTGTGGCTCAAAATGAAGGGCTGCCTCAGAGTGAAAACGAGGAACCAGAATTATCTACACGAATTATGAGGTGGATTATGGATGTTACAAAAGCAAAAATTATGGAACTTATTGAGACATTTCAATCACTCGTGAATGAGATGTTTCTACCTCCAGAAACTCCTCCGAGTGAAAACCCTACGACAGACGACGAGGATCAGTTCGAAGCAAAAGTTAGGTCTTCATTGCTTCTCTCTGTTGTGATTCTCTTAATTGTGGTTGTTACTCGATTCCACAAGGCCTGATCACCAGATTAGCTTCGGAAAATGGTTGTACAAAGATAAGCACCTTGGCCATCATAAGTCCCATTTATGTATTAAATAAAGTTTTAAATCATCTTTTGCCACTGTCACTGGGGACTACTAGACTACTATATCAAGGTAGAAAAATAATTCACAAAACCACATTCGGAATAATCTGCAAAACCTCTTTCGGTAAGAAAGATGGGATTCTTAAAACAGTCAATTGCACAAAAGAGCAAAATCATTATGGAGGTCAAGTAAACATTCACAAACTGTTAATAGAGATTTGAATATCTGATATAATCATCTTATCCAGGAAGAACATTTATGCACCGCAATGGTGATTACAATGAATATTTGGCATACATCAATCTCAAACAGTTAGAACCTGATCTTGGAGGAAAATAAAGGTAGTTTACACTTCTAAAGATCAGGACATCCAGTATTTTGGACTCATTAATTCACGATCTGCAGCAGGACCTTGATTGGCAAGCTTCTGAATTCGCGACGAGAACTCTTCAGCCTGATGAAATGGAGGAAGATCAGTGTTCCAATTAAAATCAAAGTGCATCTGAAAATATAGATAGAATAGTAACACGTGTATTTGAAGAACACTTCTCTGCACACATTTCGATATTACAAATGTTGGTATGTACGAAAACAAAATAACAAAATACCAAAAAACTAAAGAATAAACTGAGATTCTTTAATAAGAACAAGTGCATTTTCCCCCTCCCCAACTTTTCTAACTTAAAGGAAACAGCGAGTTTGAGATTTTATGATTCTCCAGACTTGCAACTCTCCCATAACTACCAGCACATGGGTGCCCAAAACAAACACCAGATCAGCAAGTCCTTGTATTTTACACCTCCTAGTTACTAATAAAACCAACTAAGTGCATCCCTTTTAAAGCTAATTATAATAACTCAAAAAACTATGCAACAAAGATACTAACCTTTTCATCAATCCACATTAAAGAACTGAGCTGATTGTTTAAGATTCGTACAACCATATCTAATGGAGCCATCCCATCATTTGTATCAAGTTCTCCTCCCTAGACAAAATGAAAGCATCGTTATACTCGTCTACATATGTTGGAAAAGCTTATTAAGAAGTAGAAACACCACTGAAAACCTTTACCTGGTTGGCATTTAGGGTCTGAATAATTGATTTGATCTGTTCTGTCACCTGCTCCAGTTCTCTCTCTATAAACTCAGCTTGCTCATACCTGCAATTGAAATCAGAATAGGAGAAAAGAGGAACCTTTATGCCAATTTCCACAAAATATAGCCTGACAATCAACAGACTAATCCCATAAACCAACAATAATTGGCTAGTTCATGCTCCCTATACTCCACGTCAAGTCACCAAACTCAATTGAGTATGAACACACTTCACAATTTGATTTCAGGAATGGTGACACCAAAATGTTCAGATTTCTTAATGTGAAAAATGTACTATTGGAATAGGGAAAAGAAAAAACATATGAAATTGGTCCAGAAACATAGAGCTGCCAAAAATATTTCCATCACATAAATTAAAACAATAGCAATAGTACAATAACTCACATAGCATCTCTTGTTGATGCAGCTTCATCATCAAGAACCAATCCACGCTCGTCCTTGTATATACGCTCAGCTTCTTCTTCCATGCTTTGCAAAGCCTTATCAACCTAACAATATAACCAGAAGAAGGAACCTTATCATGCACATATTTGCAATTTCTGTGGTCTATAGGCAGCTCTGTATGTTCTTGTGCTTACAAATTTCTGGAAGGCTACTAACTGAACTAACAAAAGTAAGCTTCTATGTATCAGCTTTACGGCTTGAAACATAAACAAAAGTTAAAAGAGAAGATTTTAATAATTATAATGGCCTCCACAAAGATAATCACAATGTGTGATTTTATTTGTGTGCCCACGACGTGCAAATCTAAGGGGATCAATCACAGACCTCATCTTACAAATAAAAGAGTAGCTTCATAAATCAAGGAAACAACAATTGAGATGCATCAGTATAGACTATATACAAAGACGGGCATAATGAGGGCTATCCCAAAATTAGTGCCCAGTAATACAAATTATAGCAGTGTATGGTAAAAATACAAAAGACTTATGAAAGTACCTCTTGCTGATGAGTCTCAATTAACTCTAGCTGCCGCTCCAAGTTAGCTTGGGTTTCAACCACTTTCGCCACTTCAATCTAAATAATTAAAACATATGGAAGTTAAACATTATTGTTAATCAAAACAAATTCTAAACAATTCCATATTACTACATAAGAACAGTGTAAATAAAGAAAGAAAAACCAGCAGATGAAGGAAAACAGATAGGCATAGTAGAAAAAGAAGAAATGGAAAAATCAATCTGTGCATGCTTATATAAGTAGTCTTTTTATCTTCAATACAGCAAAATAAGGAACACAAACTGATTGTCCCATATTACTTACATGGATATGATATATCGCTATGAGTAAAGCACTACTCACTGAAGATATCAACTAAATGAAGTTACTACGGTATCAACATACAGAATTGAAAACTGGCTTTAACTTCATATATCTCAACCAGTATACTTAAACAAGTTCTCTGATATATTGGGAAATAGATCACCTCGAGTCTAAGAAGAACATCACGGTTCTGCAAAATCCTCTTGTCCCAGTCTGCTATTGCATTGGCCTGCTTTCGGAATTTTCCAGTACGTTCTTGGAGCTCAGCATTCCACTCCTTGATGATCTTCAATTAAAGTAAAAAAGAAAATGAATCACAAGGAATATAATTTTTTTTCATTTTAATGAGAAAACAAGGAATAGATTGGATAGGTCATAATACAGAAAGAATTTATCATCGGTAATAAATGGAGTTGCATTGATAACATTAGAGGGAGTGGGGTAGAGAAACTGGTATTGACAGTTATTTCCTTAAAGAGATGTGTCACCTTTCATTCTTTTGACAAGAATATATAAGTGGACCTTAAAAATGAAAGTAGTGGCAAACAAAAGATGAAAAAAAATTGATGCGATTACTCCACATAGTTGTAGAGGGTATCGTAAATTCAATGGCCTATCTCTGAGGGGGTTCAAATGTTATTTGGATAAACAAGGATTTTCATTCTTAGTTTCCTTTTATTCTTTTCAATTCCTGGACTAGCCTTTCAACGAAAACATAAACCATTCTTTAAGTTGTGCAAGACTGAATTTATAGTATAATATTATGTGTGTGTGACAGAATATATTTTGCCTTCACCACATTTAATGCTCGCTAGTTGAATTTTCAAAATATTTTGTTCATAAAGCCTAGCATATGAAAGTTGGATTAAGCGGCACTTCACTCATAAAGCTGCATAGGAAAACAACATTACTAAAAACAAAGAGGCAAATATATGAAGTACCTCCTCCACAGTCTTCCCTGTGATCTCAGACGGTAATTTTGGTGCAGTAGATACTGTAGTGCTGACAGTTGAAGTTGTCCTATAAGACAAGAAGGACAGAAGAGCAGAAGTCAGATAGAAGTCCCAAATCTTTACAACGACATGATAATTTGTACTACATTTTTTTTTCTTTTCAATTTTCAGTTTTCACTAGATACTTTAAGTAAACCACAAAATTACTCAACAACACTCCACCTAATCTATCAAGTTTAATCTGCTCTTCCATAAGAAAACTTGTTTATAACAAGAAGAACATATGAAATACCGAAATGGATTAAGCCTAAAGCAAAAATGAACACAACGCAAAGTTATCACTAAGGCAAAGTACACAGACCCACTAGTGGAAGCCACAATAAGTGATGTTGATGTCTGAATTGCAGTGGTACTTGTACTGGTTGTTGTTGCAGCTACAGGTGCTGAAGTAGTGGCACCTACAGAATTACATTTGCACAATCACACTTCATCAGAACCTTTCTAGCAAACCAAAAATATACTTGAGCTAGACATGTAAATATTCAGAAAAACATGGTATTTTCATGTGCCTTGTGCAGTGATAACAAATACCAATTCAGGCACCAAGCACAAGGTACTCAAATTTCTCTAAACAAGTAGCCTCACAAAGTTAAAAGTCCTACACAACATAATCTCGCAATGCAATTCAGCATTCTACCCATACACCTATTCTAAATGGGAATTTAACCAATTTAGAGACAATTAACCCAAGAAGTTTTCATAAAATATTCAAAATAGCCAAAGAGGGTTGAAATACTCACCAAATGCAGGCAAAGTCGTGCTTGGTTGCGCTTGTGATGAGGAAGCAAGCGTCGACCCTTTTGTCAGCGAGGAAAAGCCAGTATAAGAAGCAGCAGCAGTAGTAGTCCCTAAAGAAGCAGCTGCGGAGGACACTCCAAACCCTGTAAACAAACCTGCGCTGCTGGAAGGCGCAGCTGAGCTGGCAGGCGCCGCTATTGAAGCCGTTGCAACTGTACTCGAAACTGCAGAAGTAGTAGGAGTCGCACCGAAACTTGGCATAGAGAAAGAGGCTTGGGTTGTAGTGCTAGCAGCTGGAGTTGAAGAAGCGCTTGTGGTGGTGACTGTCGAAAACAACGGGGCAGAAGGAGTTGAGAAGGACTGCGAGGTGGGCTTTGCGGTAGAAATGGGGGCAGCTGATAAGGCGGCATTGGAGAATCCGAAAGACAGTTGTGAAGCAGAGGAAGTGGGTGGTGCGAACGAGAAGCTTGGAGCGGTTGAAGCCGTTGCTGATGGAGTAACAGTGGTGGGTGTGGAGATTGTTGGTGGCTTTGAAAGAGGTGAGGCTGTTGGGAACGAGAAGCCTGAAGAGGAACTCGAGAAGCTTGGGAATGAGGGTGTGGTTGACGCTGAAGACGACGAAGCAGAGCTGAACGAGGGTGTTGAAGAAACTGTGGAAGATGAGCCAAACAGGGAAGAGGGCGCGCTGTGTGTGAAGGAAGATGAGCTAAACAGAGATGAAGCAGAAGCGGAAGCGGAGCCAATCAGGGGTGAACTGGCTGCCGATACAGTTGCCCCGAACAAGGACGAAGAGGTGGACGACGGTGCTCCGAATAAAGTAGAAGCGGAAGCGGAAGCGGAGCCAATCAGGGGTGAACTGGCTGCCGATACAGTTGCTCCGAACAAGGACGAAGAGGTGGACGACGGTGCTCCGAATAAAGTAGAAGCGGAAGCGGAAGCAGGCGCCGATGCGGATGAGCCAAACAGGGGTTGGGATGGAGATGAACCAAACAGCGGAGTTGAAGCCGAGGAGCCAAACATGGATGATGGAGCCGAGGTTGCTGCTGAGGACCCGAATCCAAAAGAAGGGGCGGCAGCAGAGGAGGCTGCGGTGGCGGTGGAGGCTCCGAATCCGAATCCGAAAGAAGGGGCCGGGCCGGAGCTAGGGTTAGAGGACCCAAAAGCGGGGGCGGGGGCGGGAGCGGAGGGGGAGGCGGTGGTGTTAATGGATAAGGGGAAGGGAGATGAGGAGGAGGAAGGGTTTGAGGAAGTGGAGGCACTGAAGGAGGTTCCGAATGAGAACCCGGAGGTGGAGGTGGCGGCTTGTGCGGCAGTGGATCCGAATGGGGAAGGGAGGACCCGAGTAAGAACCCGGTTGAGGTGGCGGGGGAAGAGGCAGGAGGGTTGGTGAATGAGAAAGGCGTAGTGGACTGAGAAGAAGCGGCGGAGGAGGATCCGAATGGGAAGCCCGACATTGTTTTCCCTCTTCTCTGTTTTCCCTGCTCTCTTCTGTAACAGTGTCACTGAGGTTTTTCAAATTTGGGGTTTTTGGGTTAACGCTTTCATTTTCAGAGAGGGTCTTTTTATTTTAAATTTATTTTTATTGTTTCCGAAGTGTGCAGTGTGCAGGTGCTTGTCAATGGCTTCAAAAGAGTTCATGGGCTGGACCTTACAATGAACACCCAGAAATTATTTCTGAACACCCAATACCATGACCCAATTTTAGAAAAATAGAATTTGTTTGGACACCCAACAGAATTTAAATTTGTTTATTTTCAAAGATGATACTAGTCTCTTGATACGCGCTCTCTCTTTTCGTTTAAAGATTATACTAGTTTCTTCTCTTTTAGATCAAAGATTATACTAGTCTTGCAAGTTTGTAGCTCAAGTGGTTAAGAATATTTACCTTTACATCCAGGCCCCGTTTGGTTCATGGGAATGAGGCTTGGGAATGAAAATTCAATTGTTTTACCATATTTGGTAAGTCCAGGCATGAGAAATGGTTGTCTGGCACATGGGAAGTAGGGGGGAAAGTGAAGCCCTCCTCTCAACTTGGGTTTTGTTTTCCCTCCTCATGGAAAGTTTGTGAAAATGAGCCAACATTCAATGCACAATTTTCATGACTATTTTGTCTCTATGAACAATTTATAATTACAATGTATCATTAAATGTATTCTTTTTTTATTTGATTTAATATGGGTATAATTGGAAAATTATACAAACTTTGTTTTCCATTCCTACTCAAAACAAACATGGGAAATGAAACAAAGTGAAATCTCCCGGTTACTTTCCTGACATTACCAAATGTGGAAAAAGAATCTTTCATTCTCATTCCTTGGGAAATGACATGGGAAGTAATTTCCCCTCAAATCCATTCTGTGAACCAAACGGGGATTAGTTGTAGGTTTCATTCTCCTGTAATAACCTCAAAATTAATGTTTTGTTGTTATTATATTTCTGAAAAATCATGTCATGTTGTGTCAATATTTGTGGGCATTTTATGAAGTTGGTTTGGTTTGGAAATAATGATTTAAGTGAGTTTAATCTCAATTAGGATTTAGGACTAAAATGCCCATATGTTAAATATATTATAAAACGATTCCTCTTAACAATGCAAAAGACCAAGTTGTGGTTAAATCAGATTGGTAACAAAAGGACAGATTGTGATATTTCATTCGATCATCAAAGTTATAGTACGATACTGGTTAAAATAACTTTCAAAACTCTAAACTTGGCATCCATGTCTGCTCTCAATTTTGATCCTCTCAGAATTAATGCGTGAGACTCCTCCAATCCAGGTTGGGCAGTGGTGATTTGTTTTTGCAACTCCCAAGCATCTCTAAGGTTACGTTGCAATTTAATTCGTACTTCCTTTTCCTTAGTCTTGATGGCCTTGAGTTGTGTTTGCAATTTGGCAATCTCGGCTTCTACCTCTAGAGCTTCATTTTTGAGATACAGCATTCGAAGTCCTGAGCAAAGCATTGAGATCTATCTTTCTCTAAATTTTCAGCAGATCTTTGATAGACATTTCTAGAGGTGATAGCTTGCTCGAAGGAAGTGTGAATTGTTCCCCACAAGTCTGCAGCTTGTTGAAACTCTTGAGCTGAAGTGACTCCAGAACTGAAAATAGACTTGGAGATGAGATTCTCTTCAGCCAAAATTTGTAAATTATTGATGAGTTCACCCACAGATTGATGGCCCTCTTCCACAGCAAAATCCTTGGCTTGCCAGAGCTTGATCCTACAAATGGCTTGTTCAGCCTTGACGCTGGGAGCAAGGCCAGAACCAGAAGAGCCTCCACATATTAATGCCAATTGAGTTTCCAGATCTAGAGCATCGAAATCCAGACTTGAGGGTTGTACTGGAGAGATGGGAGTAGAAGTCTGGACCTCAGCGGCAAGCTTGAAAGACGTAAGGGGAGCCTGACAAAACAGAGAAAGAATGGTCAGAGCAACTCAGAATCAGCCAACATAAGAAGACAACACTAGTCACTGAAGAAATGGAAAAATCAATCTGTGCATGCTTATATAACTAGTCATTTTCAATACAGCAAAAGAAGGAACACAAACTGATTGTCCCATGTTACTTACATGGATATGATACACAACTACGAGTAAAAGCACTACTCACTGAAGATATCACGTAAATGAAGTTACTACTGTATCAACATACAGAATGAAAACTGGCTTTAAGTTCATATATCTCAACCAGTAAACTTAAACAAGTTCTTGGAGCTCAGCATTCCACTCCTTAATGATCTTCAATTAAAGTAAAAAATAAAATGCATCACAAGGACTAGATTTCTTTTTAATGAGAACACAAGGCATAGGTTGGAAAACAACAGTAGTTAAAAAGAAGAGGAAAAAAAATGAAGTACCTCCTCCAGAGTCTTAGAAGGTAATTTTGGTGCAGTAGATATTGTAGTGCTGACAGTTGAACTTGTCCTATAAGACAAGCAGGACATAATAGCAGACGTCAGATAGAAGTCCCAAATCTTTATAAGGATATGATTATTTATTTTTCTTTTCAATTTTCGGTTTTCACAACAGCATTCCATCGAATGTTTCAAGTTTAATCTCGTGTTTGTTTCCTCCTAAGAAATCTTGTTTATAACAAGAAGAGCTATGAAATACCGAAAAGGATTAACCCTAAAGAAAAAACAGAACATAATGCAAAGTTATCACTAAGGCAAAGTACACAGACCCACTAGTTGAAGCCTCAACAAGTGACGTTGATGTCTGAGTTGTTGTCATTGCAGCTACAGGTGCTGAAGTAGTAACACCTACAGAATTACATTTGCACACTTCATTAGAACCTTTCTAACAAACTAAAAATATACTCGAGCTAGACATGTACATATTCAGCAAAAAATGGGGTTATTTTGAAATGGTATTTTCATGTGCCTTGTGTAGTGATAACAAATACCAATTCAGGTACCAAGCACAAGGAACTCAAATTGCTCTATACAAGTAGACTCCAAAGTTAAAACTCCTACACAACAGAATTCTGGCATTGCAATTCAGCATTCTACCCATATACCAAAGGCAGGCACAGTGGTGCTTGGTTGCGCTTGTGATGAGGAAGCAGGCGAAGACCCTTTTGTCAGCGAGGAAAAGCCAGTATAAGAAGAAGAAGCAGCAGCAGCAGTATTCCCTACAGAAGCAGCTGCGGAGGACACTCCAAACCCCCATGTGCTGGACGGAGCAGCTGAGCTGGCAGGCGCTGCCATTGAAGGCTTAGCAACATTACTTGAAACTGCAGAAGTAGTAAGAGGCATACCAAAAGCAGACAAAGTGGTGCTAGGTTGCGCTTGTGATGAGGAAGCAGGCGTCGACCCTTGAGTCAGCGAGGAAAATCCAGTATAAGAAGCAGCAGCAGTAGTAGTCCCTAAAGAGGCAGCTGCGGAGGACACTCCAAACCCTGTAAACAAACCTGCTCTGCTGGAAGGCGCAGCTGAGCTGGCAGGTGCCGCTATTGAAGCGGTTGCAACTGTACTCGAAACTGCAGAAGTAGAAGGAGTCAAACCGAAACTCGGCATAGAGAAAGAGGCTTGGGTTGTAGTGCTAGCAGCTGGAGTCGAAGAAGCGCTTGTGGTAGTGACTGTCGAAAACAACAGGGCAGAAGGAGTTGAGAAGGACTGCGAGGTGGGCTTTGCGGTAGAAATGGGGGCAGCTGATAAGGCGGCATTGGAGAATCCGAAAGACCGTTGTGAAGTAGAGGAAGTGGGTAGTGCGAACGAGAAGCTTGGAGCGGTTGAAGCCGTTGCTGATGGAGTAACAGTGGTGGGTGTGGAGGTTGTTGGTGGCTTGGAAAGAGGTGAGGCTGTTGGGAACGAGAAGCCTGAAGAGGAACTCAAGAAGCTTGGGAATGAGGGTGTGGTTGAAGCTGAAGACGATGAAGCAGAGCTGAACAAGGGTGTTGAAGAAACTGTGGAAGATGAGCCAAACAGGGAATAGGGTGCGCTGTGTGTGAAGGAAGATGAGCTAAACAGAGATGAAGCAGAAGCGGAAGCGGAGCCAATCAGGGGTGAACTGGATGCCGATACAGTTGAATCCGAGGAGCAAAACCAAGATGATGGAGCGGAGGACGCTGCTGAGGACCTGAATCCGAAAGAATGGGCCGCGGCGGAGCTAGGGCTAGAGGACCCGAAAGCTGGGGCGGAGGACCATGAGAACCCGGTTGACGTGGCGGGGGAAATGACAGGAGGTTTGGTCGATGGTAAAGGCGTAAACTGAGAAGAAGCGGAGGAGGAGGATCCGAATGGGAAGCCCGACATTGTTTTCCCTCTTCTCTCTTTTCCCTGCTCTCTTCTAACAGTGTCACTGAGGCTCTTCAAAGTTGGAGTTTTTGGGTTAACGCTTTCATTTTCAGAGGGTCTTTTTGTTTTTTGATTTCTATTTTTAAATTTTTAGAGATTTTCTATTTAAACTCTACACTTTTCTTTGTTCATCCTATATTCGAAGTTCATCTCAACTTCTAATTTAAATTTTTATAATTCCTAAGAAAACCCCACTATCTCCCCAAACTACCCTTAAATACACCCCAAGCTTAAAAATAATAATAATAAAAGAGATTTTCTATTTAAATCCCACAATTTTCTTTGTTCGCTCTAATATTTAAATCATTAAACTGTAAATTTAATTATTGTGTAAAAAGACAAAAAAGATCATCTTAATACTTAATTTCAGAAAAATATTCTTGAGCCTAAGCTATGATACCAGATGTAGAAAATAAAATTAAACAAAGACCAAAACCAACAAACAGAACACTCACGCAGATGAGTTACAACACTCAGTATTCTCACACAATAAAGAAACCAAAAAAGAAAAACCTGAACTGGAGCAAAGAGAACGATTTTATTAAACTGCAACATTCTTTCGTACTTCGAGGAAAACAAGACCAATATATAGGTTGTGCAAAAGGAGGAAGCTTGGATCTTAAGAAAAACAAACGACAACATGCCACACCTTCATAAAGAGATGGTGCAACAAAAGAAGAGAAAGTAGCCTAAAGACTTAAGAGCCCACCCACAGCATACCTCCTAGACAAATTAAAAGATTAAAAGTCAAGTGGCCTACAAGAACCATATCCTGGTGCTTTCTCAAAACGATTAGGCCCCATTTGGTAATGTGTTAAAGAGTTGTTTTCATTTTTAGAAGACAAAAATGAGGCAAAAACACGTTCAGTAGCCCCAAAAATAGAAAATACTGAGAATGTTTTCATAAAATGAAAACAAGCACATGTGTACTTGTAGAAAACATAAAAAAAGTTGTTTTCATTCTCATGAGAAACATTTTTATAAAAATAACTCACATATTATTATTTCAAATTGTAACACCAGACACATTTTCATTGTTTTTGTTTTCTGAAAATGTTTTCTAATTAATCTACCAAACGAATTTTTATTTCCTGAAAATGCAAACTCATTTTCTTGTTTTCATTCTCTGAAAATATTCTAAGAAAATATTATCCGAAAACGTTACCAACGAGCCCTTAAATTTTCAACTTCACATGGACTTGGTATAACTTTCAACAGAAAAGCCATGGTTGTTTTTTCTCTCAATTTGTCAATAACCAAAAAGAAAACACAGGTCTATATTAATAACAGAGAGAGAGAGAGAGAGAGAGAGAGAGAGAGAGAGAGAGTTGAAGGTGTTGAAGTGGTTAATTAACAAGCAGCGAACCCTAAAGCCCCAATCTTTTGATTCCCAATTTAGAAACACACTCAAAATTAATTTACTACATAAGAAATGAGTGTTGAAGTTCCTATAAATTACATAACTGCCATTGATAAACTTAAAAACAAGCACAACACAAACAACTCAACCAAAAAAAAACCAAAAACAAGCCCAGCAAGCCCGAAGCACATTGTTAATACCATATTATAGAAGTACATTGTTAATACCATGTCATAGAAGTATACTGTTAATACTATTTTATACACCCAAAAAAGCCCAGAAAGACATCCAATATCCCTTACAGAAACCACCTAGTTTCACAAAAAACGATCGCAAAGGCAAAAGGAAATACCTTTACAAGAAAAAAAAGAGTACAATGTTAATGCTATGTCATAAAATTATTACAAATTTATAAATAAACCCAATTCTAGACATGTATTTATAAAAAAACCCAAGCACTATTTAAACATAGAAACACACCCAAAATCAACCTCAAAATCAACAATTGTATATTTTTTGGGTGTGTTTATAAATGGGTTTTGAGTGTGTGTAATGATGGGTTTTGGGTGTGTTTATAAAGTGTTTTGGGTGTTGGGTTTTTTTATAATTTCAACCCCCATTTTGGGTGTTTTAGTGAAACTCCCTAAAATTATATTCCTAGTAAAAATCACATTATACATATCATAAACTTCAAGTGCACTGCTATATATAAAGCAAAATATAGAGCATGCTTTGTAATTGAAAATCTGTTAATACTATGTTATAGAAATCAACTCAGTTGCAGGGTATGAACAGTATAACAACTGTTCATACCACTTACTGGAAGTTAACTACAACATCATTTCATTTGTATAATAGGTACGATAAAAGTGTACAACTTCATACCACTAAAAATCAATACTCAACAATGATAAAAATACAGTGAATGACTTCATCTCAACAATAGTGTGCTAAGGACAAGCTACAAAAGACATCTATAATAGATGATCATGAAGAAAAAGCTGGACTTGAAGTAGGGAAGAAGGCAAATGAGGCCTCTGGTAAACCAAACACTTCACTTATCACACAAACAGAAGAGACACACTTGTCGGAAGTAGGAAATTCTGATATATTCAAAGTATATCCTGAAATTGGGTCAGAAGACATCATCAAGGAGAGTCCAAAAGAACCTGAGTACCAAAATGAATTCCTTGAGGAAACTCTCGAAGCCAGTGACATTGCAAGTGAAACAGTTAACAATGATGAAAATTCAAAATGACTTTTTGGCAGTCTATGCATGAAGATAGTAATAAGGGAATCACAATAGTATGGTTTGTTTGACATACTTTCCCTGCCAATATCAAAGAGTTACAGATATTAACAAGGGAATTGCCTCATAAGGATCAAAATGAAGATAATATGTTATGTTAATCAACATTCCTAGATTGTCCATCCCACCATCTATTTCCAATTCGACATACAAATTGTTTAAATTTCTTCTACTAAATTAAGCAAGTCCTTAATGAACTCAGAGAGATAAAATCATTCCCAAAATTGCTTAGTACATATATATATATATATATATATATATAGATAAGCATAAGGGCAATAGTGCTTAACGAAAACTTCGCAGAAGCAGCACTTTGAATGTAAAAACACTCAAACACTCAAGCACTTAAACACTCAAATTTCTTTCCCTGTGGTTTATGTGAATATGATTTTACTGGTTCAAAACCAAATTGTTCACAAAAGTATCCTAATTCTTTTCTTCCTAAGGTCTTCTACTTATCAAGCTGTTTCTTCAATTTCATGTCTGTGCAAAGGGCTAATCCTTCTACGCAAATTTTAGAGGATAATTCCCCATAAGTATATGACTCATAAAGAATGACACCACCATTTTTGTCTTTATTTCTATTCCTAACCTTTTCAGCGATAGAATTGGTAATCCCGAAAGAAATTTCTCTTTCCAAAATCAGCATTACAGTCTTGTCTCGTAAATATCTTAGAGTAGAATACATCCTTATACCATCTAAAATGGGACAAGGTTGGACATTTAAGATTCATTGGGAGTTCTCTAGACCTATCATGCTGCAATTGTATAGTTCCTACAAAATGTAGAGTGATTGTGTAAATTAGTGAATTTACCGCATCTTTCTGGTGAACGTTTTCACTTTTAATGACTTCAGTTGTTGGATCCTGTACACTCTGCTGGCCAATAGCCACTTGAGCATTTAAGATCTGAGTCCTGGCCGAGTCGCTTAGGTGGAAATCCCATCATCCCTTTAATTGACTAACAAAGCCTACGATAATAGCCTCAGCCACCATCCTACCTCAATTTCCTTTTATCTTAGAGGCTATAGCTTACATCATCATATGTTTCATTGTATTAATGATTCGATATTCTGTCAAACCATCAATATTCCATTCAACTATGGAGCTTTCGTCATACTAAGCGGAATTCCACATTCCATCTTCCTCTGTAAATCTACTGGTGTGGGTCTAAGGTAGTAGTTTGAGTAAACCTCTTCTCAATTATTAACCTATTAATTTCAGGTTGTTCTTCTTTAAACATTGTTTCAAGGTTATCTATTTCCCTTTCAGTGAGAACCGACACTTGAGGACCCTTTCCTTTATCTGACAAATTTAATCTTGATAATTTCTTGGCCATGACGTCAACAAAGTTTTCATCTTCAGATAATGTCATTCCCATCTTAAAGTTTTTATTATCTAAGGCAGGAGGTGGTTTGAAGAATGCTTGACTCGCTTCCTTATTCCTTTTGGTTTCTGAGGGACCTGGTTCAAATTTCTGTTCCTTCAAGGAAACAGATGTTTCAATCATGGTAACTTGTTGTCCTAAAGATTGTAAAACAAGTTGGTGTAGTTATTATGCTGAATGACTGCACCTACATCTTCTTTACTAACTGTGCGAAAATTATTGGTACTATCTTCAAGGAAAGTGGTTTCTTTGTAGGGAGCTGCAATCACATCTTTGGTTATAATTCTTTGCACCTTGTGCTACATTTCATATTTCCTTTAGCCTAATGCACTTGGTGTAGTAAAATCAGGGGTCATGCTTTTGTACCATTTGTAGTTTGATAAGGGGAGCTATTTTGTACTGTTTTGAACAAATGACTTTTGCTTTAATAAAACAATGCTATGTCCTTTATGTTTAATCAAACTGTGTGATGATTCTCTCTTGTTATCTTTTTGTACTTTCCTTATCAACAAGGGGGATAACACTCTCAACCATATTGCATATTGTTTCAAATTTCTATGGTATAATATACTTGTTTTGTGCCTAGGAGATTGGTTTAGGGGTGGCAATTTCGGACACGACTCGATACACGACTTGAAACCCGCACGAGAAATTAACGGGTTCAACTCGCACGATAAAAAAACAGGTCAATTTCGGGTCAACCCGTTCTAACCCGTTTAATAAACGGATGGGTTTCGAGTCAACCCGCTAATCCGCTATAATACCTGTCTAACTCGTTTATTAAACGGGTCGTGTCAACCCGTGTACAACCCGCTAAAAAAATGAAGAGAAATGGAGACTTCAACACACACACAAGGGGTTTCGAACCCTTACCACTCTCATTTCTCTCAAGCGTCTTCACCATGCTACATACAACTTTGTGATTTTATGGTATGCCTTTTGATATTTATAATGTTTCTTTTTCTTTTGTGTTTTTCTTTCTTTTCCATCTCTCTTCTCCTCTTTTTTTTTCTTTCTTTTCCTTCTTTCTTCTTTCTCCTTTTTTTTTTCTCTTTCCTCTTCTCTTTTTTTTTCTTTCTTTTCCTTCTCTTTAGTTTTCTCTCATCTCTCTTTTTTCTTTCTTTCTTTCCTTCAATCTTCTCTCTCTCTCTCTCTCTCTCTCTCTCTCTCTCTCTCTCTCTCTCTCTCTCTCTCTCTCTCTCTATTTTTTTTCCTTTCTTTCCTTCTCTCTTCTTTCCTCTCTTTATCTTTTTTTTCTTTCTTGTCCTGATATTTTATCTACTCTCTCTGTTTTTTTTTTAATTTAAATTTTTTCAGTTGTGAGTTTCATAACATGCATGTTATTATTTATAAACTCGTTACACGACTCGAAATCCACACGATAAAAGACGACTCGAACCCAACACGACACGTTTATTAAATGGGTTAGGTTCGGGTTGAGCATTCTTGACACGTTTATTATCCCGACACAATACGAACCCGACACGACACGATCCATTGCCAACCCTAGATTGGTTGTTCTTGCAGGTACTTATATTCATCATCTCTATGGGTTGGTTATGGGTTGAGTGTATTTAGAGAGTGTGTTGTCAAGGAAAGCAAAAAATGGGGAGATTGTAAGTGTATGCATTTTGTGATTTTCTTTTGGCTTCCCTTGACAATTTTGTAATAGGACAATCATTGTAATTTCCCAAGCTCTAAGTTTAGATTAAGAATTGCTTCTCTATGTGTTCTTATCTAGCTACATTATGATGGACAACAATGCGTTTTGACAAAGCTAAACTCTACATTGCATTCACTAAATTTATGAAGATTATGACTAGTCATCTTTCTTTCGTATGACTAGTCAACCTTTGTTTCAATTAGGATTTCTAGCTCACTGTTTCCAGCTGGGTCTTAATGATTTTTTTGTCCTTTTCTCAGCTGCCATATGTCTATTTTGACCTAAGAATTTTTGGGTAAAAGCCAAAGATTTCCTCATTTGGCAGCTATCTCTTGTGTGTAAGTTTTGAAAAAGTTTTTTTTGCAAACTTTCTCTTCTTCTTCCTCAAGAGTAACCTTCATATTTTTCATCTTTGAGTTTTCCAAATTGATTTTCAAAAACTGCATTTGAAATATGAAAACTTCATCTTGCTAGATCAAACACTCTCTCATATATATCTATGTCAGATTCAAGATTGATTTCTTCAAGAGTATGGTTTCTCAAAGAAATTGGTCATTTTCTCCATGAATCCAAATTTTATTTTTGTCTGAGTTGGAGCTAGCTAGCTGGTGTCATGGGATGAATGAGCTGAAGAATGAGCTGTCACTACCATGAAGGGCTAAGGTACTAGTTTTGCTAAGCTGGAGAAGAAGATTGCACAAAGGAGGTATAGCTCACCTTCCTAAATAGACTTAGGATTTCTTGAGCTTGCTAGTGTTCCTTTGTAAAAATCTTTTTGCTTAGTGGATTGCCTGGTCAGTTGATGACCCATAGTTTTTCCCAATTGTGGGTTTTTGGGTGAACAATTTATGCTTGCATCTCAGTAATTTTCTGGGTTTTTGTTCTTGACAGTTGACTAGTCATCACATGATGTTCATGTACTTCTAGGTTTGTGTTCTTAATAGTTGACTAGTCATCGCATGATGTTCATGTATTTCTAGGTTTGTGTTCTTGAGGTTGACTAGTCATCATTTTCTGTTGTTTGGTGTTTACTTGATTATGATGTCTTCACACACTTTCACCATAGTTGTTGCTAGCACAAGGGATGCCTAGATTGACAGGTCTTTCTAAGTGCCTAGGTTGTTACTAGTAATTTACTAGGCTTGCAGGTACATCTTGGTATGCTCTGTGTATGTTCTTGGTTGTGGTAATTCATGTCTGACAGTTGACTAGTAATAAGAGTATTTTGTCAAGGTCTATAGTGTGTGAAGTTTGTTGTGTCTTGTTTGAATATCATTTAAATGTACCCCTCACCACCTAAGTACCAATTTCAAATTATCAGAAATTCAAACATACAAAACCAAAACCAGGGATAAGAATATAACGAAATTAAAAACGATATAAACGATATCATTAATATTTAGCAAACTTACACAGAAGCAGAAGGGCAGCAGTGCTTAACAGAAGCTTCGCAGAAGTATCACTTTGAATATAAAAACACTCAAACACTCAAGCACTCAAACACTCAAACACTCAAAAGTACAAAATATATATATATGGATTAAAGGTAGACTTGGTCACACTCAACCCAGAATTGCTCAGTATATATATTCGTACATACATACTGATTGGTGAATTGTTGAATTAAAGATAGACTCGGCTTAAATTACTACATTCCTTGAAAAATTCAGCAGCAAAATCAACAATTTGCAACCGAAAATTTACCAACATAACCAGATGATAATGCAAAGCTGGAGAAGCAACATGCAACCAAATAAACAAATTTGTTCAGCTCACAAAAATTGAAATTCAAAAATAAAATTATAAAATTCAAACCACATACATGTATTAATTCCACTGAGAAGCTACAATTCACAAAACGCAACCAAAATCAAAATACCAAAAACTAATCAGAACAAAAATATCAAGATAAGGTAGTAAAGCAACAGTACCTGAGCCAATAAAAGAACCAAATTCTGGTTTGAGATCAAACCGCCAATAGCCATTTTGCTACAAGCTCTCACACAATTTCAGAATTCAGAGTCCAGCAACCAAAGAGCTGAATGCAAGGCAAGGAGTGAAACAACAACGTTTTCACATTCTTAAACGCTAAAATTGATCCCAAATAACTATACTATCAGTAAGAGCATGAGAAGATGATCGAAATCCATACATGGATCGACGGCAATGGTCGCCGAAGCCACTGAAAAAGGTGTCGGAATACTCGAAACCCTCGAAGGTTCCTAGAGCTCGTGATGGTGAAGGGAGGCTGGGCTCGCCAGGGTTGGGATTAAGCATGGATCGCCTGCCTACTCTGGTCATTTTCCGACCGGTCACGCGTCTAGCCGTGGCCGGAGCACCAAGATTGCTGGCAAAAACTGGTGGGCTTGGTTTTAGCGAAGGGAGAGAGAGACGCAGTAAAAAAAATTAAATATGAATTCAACACCAAATGGTAAACCTGGAAATCAAATATTAAAAACAGATAGATGGCAATAACCAAAAATGGGTCAATTCATGTAAGATATGGTGTATTTATAAAGTCTATTTAATGTAAGATAGGGTGTGTTTATAAAGTCAATTTCATGTAGAATATCTCTATGATTCTATAACTAAATATGGGTTTCTTTATAGTTTCCTATTTTTTAGGGTTAGCCCATATCAGTATAATTATATGAGCTCAGATTGGTTTGGCATATGCTCTTTTTTGTTTTGCTGTATTCTTTTTCACTCTCACTCACTCATGGAATTGTAAATTTGGGGTTTAGAAGGTCCACATTTGTGAGCAAGTGGGCATCGCGTTTTTAGTGGCTCTTGGCCTTCCTACAATAGGCAAATGAGGCGGTTGGGGGTGATAGTGTGTGTGGCTAGTGCAGCGCCAGTGGGGAAGGGGTGGGGTGTGATGGTTGAGATTGAGAGAGCAATTTTTCAAAAATTATTCTTATTATTAAATTCTTATTTTTAAAGAATTTTTTTTTACACGTGGCACTTATGTGACATACATATCAACAAAAAGTGGATTCCATTCATGCCACATCAATGTTTTTAAAATAATTTTTAACAGACTTCATGATGGAGGGACAAAGTGAATTGCAAAACATCAGCAAGGAAGCAAAGTGAGTCACTTTAAATTTTGAAGAACAATGTGAGACGTGACTATAATTTGAGGGGTAAAGCCCATATTACGTGGGCTGTCTAACATTTTCTTAATTTTTTTTTCTTTAACCAAAAGTGAAATTACTCTGCAGTGGCCCAGAAACCATGAAAACCAAGAGGAAAATTTAGGTGCTTAGGAACTTCAAGTCTTGCCACTAGTGCATCCTCTCCTCCAATCCTTTTGGAATCTAAGATAACCAGATAGCACCTTTGAACTGAAACTGCATACTGCAATACAAGAAACATATATACCATAAGTCTCACTTCAGAATTTTGAACACCCAAATTCTTCTTCTTCTTTTTTGGGTCTATAAATTCTTTTAGTAAAAAAAAACAAATGTATTACCTCAACTACAAGAATGTAACCATCATCTTCTTCAGAACCTTTGGGGATGAAAGCGGGCTCTCCGATGAATCTCCGGCTCCCAACAGACCATGTAAGCACAGATTTCGTTGAAACATTTAGCTTGGCCACCATGTCAAATGGAAAGTGAGGCAATGCACTGCGAGAACCTGAAGAAGCTGCTGCATATATGTATGTGTTTTTGCTTCCTGAAAAGGCTGGATTGATAACTGGAAAGTCTGATGACTTGTTCCACTGGTTTAAAGGCTCCACATCACATCTTTGACAGCTTCCATTCACATCCAAGTTTATGGAGACCTGGATAAGATGAGGTAGCGTCTTGCTTTGGCTTCCATTTATGTTCATAATCGAGGGGTCTAGTTTACCACTTTGCCAATCATATCCTGTACCATGGAAGCAATATCAAAATAAGTCTTAATTAGCAGTTGTAGATAGTAATGAGATTTGAAGTCAGAACTTTCTCGAACAAAGTAGAGACTAAATGTCACGAGTTGAAAAATTTACCAAATAATTTTTGAAAATTGAACCACTCGTAAGAGCAAGCCGAAGCATGTATTTCCATCTCCATATTCCCATTCTCATCCAGATTCTCGTAAGCATTGGCTACATGTAGGAGCCACAATTGTGAAGAAGCTTCGATAGGCACTCTCCAATCTCGACCATTTTCATTAGGAGACCGAGGAAGCAAATATATGGGAGATGTGGCCTTGCTAGGGTTCACCGACAATGCTGTTATCATAGGAGAAGTCCCACAAACTGCAGTCATTGCACCTGCATTTTAATATTATTTAGTAATTTTATCTCGACAGTTTGATTACATAATATATGTCCTTAGCAACATATAATTGATAGACAATTAACCTGACGATGTAACATATGTTTGTCTGTCACTATAAATTTGTAGGACTTTAACCAACAACAATACGGTTGTATGGAATATACTTTTGCACAAACTTTAACCATTGGCCATCCTTTCTAATTGTTTCTAACGTGGAGAACATTAACCGCAAAAAAAGGAGGTGAAATCTTGTATGAAGTAAGTTTTTTTTCTTCTATTAATTTATAGCTCATTAGCAATCATATCGTTGAGCAATAATCTAAAATGATTAAAAAGTGGTCAACATCCAGTTGAAAAAAAGCATTGACTTACAAATTAGTGGTCTCAGGTTCGAACTTCCATTACACCTTGATAGCGTGTGTGAGAAACCTCCCTCCCAAGCCCAGCCCACAGATTATGCGGGCTGGGTGATAGCACAGGATCCCCAAAGAAATGAGACCTCTTATAACACCTTTTAACGCTAGAGATATAGTAGCAAAAAAAAATGATTTTTATGTGTGTAACTGATGCTTTCTAGGCTTGATTCTAAAAAAAAATTGAGACTTTTTCTTTACTTTTTATGTAGTAGGCCTCTTTACATAAATTAAGAAACTTAACACCTAAGCTTGAAATTTTTATTTTACTTTTCAATGGAACGCCCTGTTCCTTCCTGTAGTTTAGACTTTTACATGTATTCAACCAAAAAAAAATTTAAAAAGCATTGTGAGGCCTAGTGCATTTGGTGAGTACACTTTCACCTTGTAAAGATGGAAGGATCTTCAATATTCTCTAGATCTCATATGATTATTTAATATATAATTTAAAAAATGACGATAACTTATTTAATTAACCTACCGACAGCATCAAGCTTGATGCGATTGGCAAATAATATATAGTGAGTGTCTGTGAAAGCCCAATCATGGATCATCAAGTGATCAGGTATGTTAAACTCTTGCTTTCCCAACACCTTAAAATTTGAATCATATTCTGCACAAAAACAAAAAACAATATATATTATATATTCAAAAATCCACATAATAATTAAATAAGAGTGGTGATTTACCCACTTCAATTTTATCCACTTACACTCCATTTTATAACTAAAAAAAGAGTGTAAGTGGATAAAATTGGAGTGTGGAAATCGTTAAATAAAAGGGCTCATGCATATGCCCTTAATTACCATAAAATGTAAAGTTACTGCATGGCAAAAGCATATCCTCTGCATTGCACGACACCATAAGAAGCCTGTTTCTACGAGCATCAAGCTTATAATGAGACAACAATCGCTTTGGAGGCATCTTAAAAACTCCTGTACAAGGTATATACCTCTTAGTATGATGAACAATATTAAACAACTATATAATAAAACGTAGATTTGGATTCTCTGCTTAGATTTTCTCGTCATGATCTGCTTAAACAAAAACTTCCATTACCTTTTTATATAAGACTATTAGTTAAATATCAAATGTGTATAACTTCTATGTATTTTCACAAATATTTTAATCTTTACTCTCCAAATTTACAGCTCAGTTCATGTTCATTTTCTCGTCATCTTCTCCAAATTTAATCTCTAATTAATATTATTCTCCAAATGCCCATCTGAAACAGATTGAAAACAAAGCTTTCTCTTTAAAAATTCAGCAATTTACTTTGTTGTGTTCATCTATTATATTCTGCATACACACGTACCGTACAGAATTGGTTTGAGCAAACTTGCAGCCACATCCCATACACCGCCACCACGGTCTCTACTCTCCACCCCCGAATCACAACCGCCCATCAGACCTATGCTCCCAATCGTATCCAACGTCTCAGATTCAATCTCATACGGATCCCCACCTTCCCACAAACACAACAGCCTCTGGCCCCACCTTAACACACTAGTATTCGCCACATTCTTCATCACCTTAGTATTCCCAACTTTCTGTCCACCTTTCAACACCGAAAACGGCCCCCTGTGCGTGAACCGCCACGTGTCAGTCAAAGGGTCGTGCTCCTCCACTTGAGCCTCAGTTTTCACGTACTTGGCCATGAACTTGACATCTTCGCCAAACCCGTCAAATTTGAAAGCCCTAAGGTAGCCGTGGCCGTCCAATGGGTGCACCGTGGAGCCGTGGTCGTCGGCGAAGAGCCCCGGCCCTGTCAAGTAGTACGTGCCGGAGGGAAAGTCCGATGGAACCGAACCATCCACGACTCTGAGCGCGATAGGTTCGGTTTGTTCGGAGCGCTGTGACACAAAGAGGAATTGGTAGTCCCAAAATGCAGCCACGGAGTCATCTACTACGTCCACGGTTGAAATGGAAATTGGACCGCGATCGGTTTCGTTGGGTGTGGAGATTGATATGGCACGCGGTGGTTTGGTGGGCACTGGTGACGGAGATTGGTGCACCGGAGGTAGCTTTACCAATGAAGGGAAGATTTGTTTGGGAATAATTTGGAAGGGGTTGGGGTTGGCTTGCATTTTTTGGGGTGTGGGTTTTGGAAGTTTTAGGAGCTGCCGATGGAGCAAATGGTGGTAGCATATACATATATATATATATGGTTCGAAATTATATAAAGCTTAAGGACACAGTGGTGGGATTTGCCATTGGAAACTTGGTTTAATTACGGATTTGCCATCCCTTCTGTGGCTCGGGTTTGTACTTTGTGCCCTTCCAAAGTGCATGGTGGGGGCATGTTTTGTGTGTTATGATTATGGAGGACATGGGCAAAGAAATTTGCAGATTAAATGGCAGACATAATGCTTGGGATTTACTATTTTTTGTTATAAAAAACTTGTTATGGCCAGAGAATTTATTTATTTATATTTAAAAAGAATTCTTCATTCAAGAGATATTACATTTAATATATTATGTATGTTGGTTGTATTTTTCTTTAATTTGTTGGACAGTAGAGATGACAGGGGAAACCCACAGACTTTCATAGGAGAATTATAGAATAGTACGGTCATGTAGTATAGCTGTTATACATATTTATTAAGCACTAAAAAAAAAGCATAAAAAATGACTATACATTCCCATTTACTTTTCAATTACAACTTTTAGAATTATTTAAACAAATTTTTAAAATACATATATTTTATTTTATTTTTAAATAATTGAGAGTATCGAGTTTTGACTTGAAACATCGTTCAATATTAAAAGAGAACTACCACCAAAATAAAGCTAGTTGGTTACATATTTTGATTTTTAAATAATGGTAAAGTAGTCGCATTTTCATATCAATTGCCACATAGTTTGATCAATCGATACAATTTGAGTATATGCCACACGTACATTGTTATTGCGACATCGTATCAAATTCAATGTAATTCGAAGCTATAATCAAATCAATATTACTTGCCGATCTGCTTCGCCAGTGTGTTTTTTATTTGGGAATGCGTGCCAAGGTAATACCAAAATCTAAAATAATAGAGGAAACATGCCATGAAATCCGAATCAGAACACACAGACACACACATGAAGTTGCCCTATATCTATCATTTGTTCGTCTCACACAAAGAATAATGACCCCCTATTTCAGACCAGGTACCACTTTTAATGCTAATTTTGGCTTGTAAAAATGGAATTAAGTAAATTATTACTAATAATACGTGTGATTAAATAGAGGAGAGAGAAATGGCACTTTGGTAAAATACAAATAACGTGGAGGGTGATATTTAAAAGTGGGCAGATTATTTGTTTAATAGAACCACTAATAAGACAATGATTTAGAGTTTGATACCACAATCTTGTGTTGGTATGATACCGGGGGAATGATGACAAAAATGGGCCACTGATTCCCTACGTCGGCCGTCTATAGAGGACTGATCTCAGCCTCCCACTCAACCTTATTATATTAATGCATGCATTATACGCATTTTACTCTCCATCCACTCATGCTTTGGCATTTGGGACCCACTTTTTTAAATGGAGGGTTACGTGGGAACGAACGATAATTTTATTGGGAGTAGAAATGTTATGGAAGTATGTCGTGAATATATTAGACACAAGGCGTATCCCATCTCCCTCGTAGACCCGGCATTCATGTCGTGTTATCAGTGTTTGTGTGGAGTTTGTGTCAACTCGTTTTTCTTAACGGGTTGACACGACACGACACGATAAGAAAACGGATTGGAAATGTCCAACACAAACACGACGTGTTACAATTCGCGAATTCGACACGATATGATTCACAAGATAAGAATTAAAAAATATTAAATAAAAATAATAACAGAAATATGAAATAATTAAAAACAAACAATCACATGATCTGGAAGAGAGAGAGAGAGAGAGAGAGAGAGAGAGAGAGAGAGAGAGATGGAATAGGGGTATTTGCACTACCACTCTCTTAATGAGTTTGAACCTTTCTTTGAGAGCTTGGGTTTGAAACCTCCAGAGTATATTCCTCTTCTTCCTCATAAATTGATGCTCTTGATTGATTACGATTTGCTACTGCATAATTATGGTGGAGGAAAAGACGGAAGAGAAGAAGAAAGTGAAGAAGAAAGAGAAAAGTTGCTGCATAATTATGGTGGAGGAAAAGACGAAAGAGAATAAGAAAGTGAAGAAGAAAGAGAAAAGCAAAGAAAATCGGGGGAATGGGGGAGGAAAAGACGAAAGAGAAGAAAGGGAAGGAAAAAGATAGATAAATTTACAAAAATGCCCCCACTTAACGGGTTGATTCGTGTTTTCGAGAATTCACACAAAAACGACTCGTTAGCTTACAGTGTGGCTAACGAGTTGACACAATAGCAACACAACACGATAACACAGACCCGAATACTAAATTTATTTTGCGAATTCGTGTCGTGTATGATATTGCCAGGTCTACTCCCTTGGAGGGTATGAGTTTCATGATATTACAAAGCCAAAAAGTGAATTTTTTTTCCTTATAGTTCATCGGATTTTTCACTTTTGTTTTTGTGGTTCTAATTTTAATAATTTAACTCATATAGTTTGATATCCATCACAATTTAAGAATATGTCCAAATTTCCGTCTAATTTCGTGACAGAGTGAGCACATATCCCTAACGTGGAAAGTTATTTTGAAAGAATTTAACTGAATTTGTAATGTGTCCTTGAATTATGAGGAATTTAAACTACATAGTTAAAATTGACATAAATGAAACTATGAGGACTAAAATGATAAATTCAACAAACTACAATGACCAAAAATTACTTTTTGCCTATTACAAAATCAAGAAAGATTTACTCTATATATATTTTTTCGGCCGAAGATTTCCTCTATGTGAGAAAGTTGAGATAAGGGGTGGAATATTACTTTTAAGTTCGTAGTTGAGTTGTGGTGTACTAAACAATCGTCTAATACTCACAAACTAAAATGCATATTGAGCGATAAATTTTCACGAAAAAAGAAAGAAAAGAAAAATTGACTTGCATTATATAAATGCCTTGCAAGCAAAACAAAGTAAATTGGTGGCTAAGAAAAACTAATTAGGCAAATGGAGTTGCTTGCAAACAAAGTTAAAGCAATTTGCAAGAAAATAAAATCCTAATACCCATTGGCGGACTCATGAATTTTTTAGTAGATGTGCAATTTTGAAAGGCTAAAAACTCTTTGTAGATTGAACATCTAGGCTTTTTACCTAGATTGACCTTAGGTCCCTTCATTCATTCATAACATACATGAAAAATTGTTTTATGTAAAAATATTGACTAAGTATGAAAAAAGGTTTTTCGAAATAATCATTTTTGGTGGCTTTTATTCCTTACACATCAAATAAGAAAACTTGATTTTTTGAGATTTTATTATGAAGTATATATTGTCTTAATGAGCCATCATTTTTAGCATAAATTGTATTTTTCACTAAAACCTATTTTTCATATTTTGATTCAGTGGGAATTTGATTTTCTAGTTTTTTTAAATAAAAAAAATCCAAATTGGGGGGTAATTCCTTATTTATATTGTAAACTTGAGTAAATAGAGTAATATAAAAATAAATAAAAATAAAAGGACAAAGACATTTAGGTAATAAGGTAATCTGTGCACCATCACCAGCTAAGTAATCTGTGCACCATCACTAGCTAAGCAAAAGGGCAATTTGAAACACCCACAATGATTTTTCCGATGAAAAGAGGTGTAGATTCACCTTCTTGCGTCTTAATATGTCCGCCACTACTAATACCTCTTTGTCTAAAGATGATGGTAGAAAACGTCAAGAAGTGGTGGAGAAATCAAGGACAGTGCCAAAAGGCAGGTGAAAAGAATCAATGGTGAAGGAAAAGTTCCTTGTAATAATTGGAGGCCGAATAAAATCGACAAGGGTATAACAAGCCCGTGTAACATTCGGCTTCTCCAACAACAACAAAAAAACCATTCGGCTTCTTCATAAAATAAAATAAAAAGTAACATTGGGCTTTAGATATGCGATGAGCCCTTCTACAACAGGCTGAGAGCTATGGGCCTCGTTTATAAACTCCTTTTGAGCTCAATCAAATGCACCTGGTGGATTGGCATTTTAGCCAGAAAAACGATTACAGAAAAAGCAGCATAGTTTGTGAGTTGTGACATTCAAATTTCAAGCATACGCTAGTTGGTGAGGGTAATGAGCTCACTCTCTTACATCTAAGTTTGTATTAATCTTTTCGTTGATTAGATTATTTTAGACTATCACTTGTATATAAATAAATAAAAACCAAAAACAACCTAAAAACAAAATCAGCTATAGACGATTTTTACATTTGTGTCAATGGTGAAACTCAATAACATTGACAATTGGGTTTCAGTAAAAACTGAAGTTGGTCATGCTTGATTATGCCAAATCAGGACATTGTTGTTAGATATTTGGACAGTGTAGTCTTGCGCTCACAATAAAAGTTCGACTCCTCGCAATATGAAATAGAATACAAGAATATATGTATCGAGAGTTCTAACAATATACGAAAAAAGAGGGTGTTGATGGTTTATAGTAACTCCGTGTAAAATCTGATTACATGATGACCAGAACAAAAGGAGAAAAAGAACACAGGTGGGTGTGCACTGATTCTTATATTCACTAACTTCTGAATAAAATGATTAATGATTGATTAGTCACTAGATCATCACTTAATGATAGTTGCTACTAATTTTAGTTATCATTATTAGTGTTATTTGCACTTCTTGCAACTCAATAATAACTCCTATAAAGTCATGAGGGGAATTAATTGGAAAGCCACTAGTAACCTTTTTGTTTTGTTTTTTTGGGGACAGTAACTGAAAAGAAAAATAGAAAAAGGCAGGATCATATCATGAGTCAACCGAATCACCAAGCTCCTTAAGAACGGTAACCAAATCCCCAAGCAATCTCTTGGATTATTTTCAAGAAGGTAATGATACATTAAATATTGAATGTATAAAATATGAGGAAACGTGGCATGGCCAAATCTGAGTTTGCATTGTCCTATTTCTGGTGTCGTGGATTGGTATAGAGGGCTGTGGAGTTCAAAGTTATATCCGTAGTTGGATGTAATCCTCGCATTACTTCATATTGATCTAAGTTCTCTAACTACTTTTCCACACGAACTCGGTTATATACCAGTGTGGTGTCGTCCAAAAAAACAAAAACATGTGTGGTGGACTATTTTGTAAGCTAGTTTACAGCGGCGGTCCTACGTTTTGGAGGCTTTAGGCGAACAACCTAAATGGGGCCTTATACTTTATATGTATATTTATGTGTTTTTTTTTCCCCTATAGATTAGAAAAATATTATTTGAACTTAAATGCACAATTGTAATATAAAATAAATAAACAAAATGTAATTTATGTAACAACTTTATAAAATGCATCCAGATTCAAATATCACTTAAATATCACTGGTCTTCCATTTTCGATGCAAAAGTATCAACTAACTTTACGTAATATCTATATAATATAATTCTTTTAAAATAACATAAGTATGTATAGGGTTTATACAAATTGGGGCCCTCTCAATTTGGGGGCCTAAGTAAGCAGCCGCCTTGCCTGCTTAGGGCGTCCCTGCTAGGTTACCAATCAACACAAAGCTCATGATTTAAACAGTGGTTTGACCCAAATTAAATCATGCAATGCAGAGGATATGATTTTGCCATGCATATGCTTTAGTTTCATTATAATATATACTCAGAATATGAAATTCCCAAAGAAAAAGAAATCAATCTGATAAATTACCATAAATAAATAAAAATATTATCTCAATCTGGAAAAAGATTGTGCAGAACAAGCTAATAAGGATACATTAAATATTGTAATCATTACAACAATATTACGTACTAAATATACTTGTGTTCTGTAATTGATGATGAGCTATATATGATTAGAAAGAGCTAAAGCATTCATGTTCGGAGGAATTAGAGTCATCACAAGGGGTGTGGTTGTGTCTACCTTCATAGGTTGTTATCACCATTCGACAATCTTCAGACAGTCGTTCAACCCTTTTCTTCACCCGACAGTTACTGTGAGTACAGCGGTAGTAGCTTCTGCATGCATATATTTATGCCATTCAGTTTCAGCACAACAACAACAAACTAAAACCCTCTCATGATCTCTAAATACATCACTCATATGCAACGTGGTATATACTTCAGAGTGGCAAACGGCTATAACGGACGGACTTGTTGAGAGTATTATGTCACGTAAACCCTTTCATAATCAATTGGAAAGCGGTAGAGACACAAACAATATATACATATGCATGAAAGGGGTAGTTTGTATATACTAAAAAAAAAAAAAAAAAAAAAAAAAAAAAAAAAAAGTGGCACAGTCACCATATATTGGTGACATTAATTTGGTGACTGTTGTGAGGGTGACTAAATGCTTTAGTCACCAAAAAAAGCAAAAAATGCAAGCCAAAAAAGTCAAAAAAGCTGACTAATGCATTTTGTCATGGCCACAAATGTCACCAAATAATGGTGATTGTTGCAACTTTTTTTACTAGTGATAATATGAGATAACATTCTCAACACCGCTCCTCACATGTGGCGTGATTCGAGTCAAATACATAAACAACTTGAATCAAGTACGCTAAAGCACGTGACCGTTGAATTGGATATGTGAATTGCATAATAATATTAGAGCATCTAACACAAAACCAGTTAGTAATAAAAGGTGGAGGAGTAACTATTATGGAAGGTGTTTCTTGATATATACAACACCAATGAATTGTGGTTTTGAGAAGAAAACATATATATACGCACAAGATAGATGATGTAAAAATAATGTGGCGCAGGCACGTCATAGATGAAAGTACATGATCTTAGAATTGATAACAAACTTATAACTTTGTTAGACAAGCACATGGTACTATGTGAGAAGTCTAATTGTCACACGTGCTTCACGTTACTTAATTAAATTGTCTACATTTTAGAAATTGTGTGTCAGGATGTGAAGAATTGTCCCACATAGGAAAATTAAGAAACCTTGCAATAGTTTATAAGGATCGACTCACTCCTGAAATTGTTAGTTGGTTTTGGGACTTGAACTCCAACTGCCTTCAAGAATGATGAACATTTCCAGTTATGTAAAGTGTACTTCACATGTGTATTCTCATAATTTTTTTCTATTGGTGCCAAAAATTGCGAATCATGAATACCATTAATTTTTAAATTTGTAAATAATTGTCACCGATTGCATACATCTAAATACTAAAAATAGACAATCGCATCCTGCATATATATTCTGTACCCCTAGGCATTGGTGAACAAATAAGTAAAACCTAGGTTGAAAGTTGGTGTGTAAGGGGCCTGTAGCTCAAAAGTGGATAAAAACATTTACTCTTACACTCAAGGTCTTAGGTTCGTTTCTTCCCTCCTAATATGGCTTGTATAAAAAAAGTTGAAAGTTGGTGCAAACCATATACACATTCTGGACCTCTATAGAAATGCATGTGCACCAATATATGATGTATACGATAAATATGAAAGATTAAATTAGCCATAGAAATAAAATTAAGTATACCTAGGATGAAGGCTGTTCTTGACAACTTTCTGGCCATATTTCCTCCATTTGTAACCATCATCAAGCACATCCACATCACTTCTGGTTTGGAAACAGAATCTTGGCTCCCTAAGCTTTCTCCTCACCTTCATCTTGCTCTTCTCTGAGCTTGAGCTCCTCCACCTGTCAATTAATTAATTAATTTCAAGCTCCTCCTCTCTTAATACATATATACTAGCTAATTGATGCATGAAAACCAGATTTACCACTCATCTACTCGCTAATTAATTGATTGCCTGATCTCTTTAATTTACTTTTATACAATAATATATTTATATATATAGAACAAATTAATGTGTGATACGAAAATGAGATAAAAGATCTGTATCCTGTCATGGTGGGATCTATATATTTGGAATCTCTGTGTCAAGTACTTGATCGATATACTGCCATATGGCCACAACGAAAGACTGGCACAGGCACACACGCAGAGAGAGAAAGAGAGAGAGAGAGAGAGGGAGAGAGAATATATAAGAACATGGTGTAGGACGTACAAATGGCAACACAGAAGCAATATTCTCTCTCTCTTCTATAAGTGGCTAAATCTTTCTAAGATTCTGGTAGAAGAGCTTTTAGAATGCATTCTTAGATGTGCGCACGCATTTGTGCATGTACATATGCATGTGTGTACTTTGGAGAGAGAGATTGAGATCTAGCTAGAGAGAGAGAGAGAGAGAGAGAGAGAGAGAGGAACAAATTAAAACCTATAAAGTAAGTAAATACCATGAGTTGCTGCAATCACTAGCATTACCAGTCCCATTTTCATCACTAATAGCCTTTGGATCCAACGTTCCCACCTAAATTTTCCATAAAAAAGACACAATTATAAGACTACAAAAATAAAATCCGACAACGCGTATAACTGATTCTTTCTTTGGATGAAATCTATAACCCATTTGTTGGACAGGCAAAAAATTAACATATATAACATGGAAAAGCAAGGAAATAATGTCTCCAATTTCATGCTTCTTTTCAAATTCAAGATTGAACCACCTGGTCGTTACTATTATTCCAAGAAGGTCTTGCAACAAGTAGGTCAGTATGAGTACTAAACCCCACGGTAACCCCGTTGCTGGTGGTGGTGGTGGCGGCGGAGGCACCGCTGCTGAGCTCAGCTGGCTGATGATGATGAGGGTGATGAGAATTGTTAGGCTGCTGCTGCTGTATATGTGATGATGGGGCCATGAAGCTCAAAACCTGATTATGATGAGGATGATGATCTTCGAACTGCACAAACCCCATTTCGTGGATCGATTGTTGAGGGTTTGGGGTGCTCGAAAACGAAATCTGAACTTCATAACTCGGAACCCCTCTTTGATCTCCTTCCATATATAAATATTCGCTCTTCAACTAATCAATTAAGCTCCTCTTCTTCTTCTTCTTCTTCTTCTTAGTGGAGTTAGCTGTGGTGCAAGCACTTTTTCCGTACAACCTGTTGGTATGAAAAAGGTCTGTTTGTGCAATTCACAGTGCGGTTCGTGTGGTCAACTAGTAAACGTAAAATGCTGGAAAATATTCCTTACCGTCTTCTTAAGGTTGTGTAAATGGAGGCATTACTGTAGAGACTCAGAAAGACTTAAACAACAGCACAAGCCACTTCTATATCTCTCTTTCTCTGTCCTACTCACACATATATATGAGGATGAGCATGACAGATATATATGATATGAACAGTACCAACAAATTATCAAAGGAATGTGTGGTTTGTGTACCACATGGGCTGGCTGGGACAAGATACTATACCCAAAAAATTAAGAAATTACATGAATATATATATATATATATATATTAATGTACACTGTATGCGGCATTGGTCATACGAATCCATTCGTATACATATATGTAATATGACACGTTGCATACGGTTTATTTATGATATAGATGTTAATGATATTGTACACGTGTTATAATTTAGGTATATAGATTCATAATATCATTATATATCACGTATTAATATACACAATAATTTCTTTGTACTTTAGAATGCTCTAGTGATTTGTCGTAATTTCTTTATGTTGTAACATATCTTCACTTGATTTCAGGTTTTAAAATAAGTGGACATGAGATGAGAGCATCAGTGAATCCTATGGGGATGGGTTTCTAAAGTATATTGCAAATTTTTAATTAATTTCCCAACCAATATTTTGACTATAATGATTTTCCTTTCTTGTATCTTTTTCTTTTCTTTTTTTGGGGTGAAAATTAGACGGAGTTGGACACATTTTAAGCAAGCTTTCGGCCATCGAAAGTGCAATGGTAGTTTATCTTTCCATGAAAACGTGTTCATTGTATTATTCTTTCTACATTGTCATTTCAAGTTTTCAACACGCAGTGGATGTCATCGCGATGAATAATCATAGTAACCTTAGTGGTGTATTGCACACTCATGCATCCAGAGTGAGATAGTCTTTCCTTATTTACATGGACAATGGTTTTAGCAATTATAAGCAGACTTCCCTAATGTCTTGTGTGGGTTTGCATGTTCCAAATTCAAGGAAAATTGCTAATTTGACAATATTCTTATGTTGGATGCGAAATTCGAACGTTGAGAGTATACTACATTGAAGGATGTAAATTTTATAATAATAATACTTCAAAGATCTTGAACTTTTTCACGATTGTCAATTGATTTTAGGTTAAATTATTCACATATTATTATTATTATTATACCACAACTTCCTACTATGAATGTACCGCAGGTAATTCCGTCATAAGTCAACTAATTTGTCCTCCCCAATTTGAATTGCTTTATAAAAAACAATAATAATATATGTGCTCCTAATAGAAGATAAACCCTAATAAATTTTCTTTTAACAATAAAATAATATTGGCTTTGCCAAAGAGATTATCACAACAAGGGAAACAATTATAGAAACCCTAATACAAGAGTGTAAGAATGTAATATAACAATAATACATCCATCGAAACTTGTTTCAAATTATATAGATGCCAATTAATTAGGGTGAGAGATGATATGACTCTGTCTTAATACTAGACATCAACATGAGAGAGAGATTTAGTCTTGAGGGCAATGAGTATTGGACGGTACATCAAACTTCCATCGATCCACGTCAACATGCCTAAGGCTTTATGGCAGTTGAAAGAAGGAAAAAGGATATAGCCTGTCAGATGCTGCCAAATCAAATTCCAATATATATTATATGCAGAAATTTGTCCACTCAGAGCACTCTTCTCTGCAGAAAGACTAGAAAAGAGAGAACAACTATAATAATAACCCCGACAATCACATTTCTTGGCATCCGTCTCCTCCCCACTCACTTTCATCTGTTACTTCATCCACAGTACAATACTCTCTCCCTCTCTCTCTCTCTCTCTCCATGAAAAGTCCCTCCCAACTCCCCCCACAACACCAACAACAGCAGCAGCAGCAACAACAACAAACTAGAACCAGCAGATTAGTCACTCAATAAGATCCCTCTCTAATTTTTCTTTGTACCGTACATGTAGCTCGCCTCTAATGAAATCCTTAACCAACATTGAACTTCTTTACGAAAAAGTTTGAACTCTCCTTTGCACGTACTATCATATGGACCTTGACGTTTTTTGTTTTTGTTGGATTTATGGAACTTGACTTGAACTTTCCTTTGCTTACAACATGACATTTTCCAATAAAAAAATTTCATAAATTCTAATAATTTAGGATTTTAGTTACTTACCCGTTTATTTAATTCTATTATAATTAAGATTTATTCATTAGGGTTAACACATCTTTATAAATACCTCCATACAATGACGAACCCAAATTTTTTTCTAGAACTAGGCTAATATTTTTTCTATGGGTAATTCATTATATTACCTATTTTTCTTAACTAAGTAAAATTTTGTAAGTGAAACACGTTCATTCACATAACGAACAAATATAACATAAAGACGTACATAATATATATATATATATAAACATAAAATGAAATACATATTGTAAAACATTAAACAAATTTGTGCATTTGCAAAGAAATTAAAAGAGCTTAACTAGTGAAGTAGAACCCTACGCTCCTTAAGTGCATCAAAATCCTAGATTATTGAATCTGATTCAATATTCATAGGAAGTTCTTTATGTAGACAGTAAGGGAATCTATCAGATATTCATCCTACATTTTGTTGCGAAGTACAGACTTCACATGTTTTATAGCTGAAAATACTCGTTTTGTAGTCATTGTAGAAACCGGAAGAGTTAATGCTAAACGAATCAATCTATCAATCAAATAATATGTCTTTGTTATGTTTGTTTTAACTAATCCTTGATGACATAGATTAGAAAGAGTTGACATATTCCAAAAGATATCAAGATCATATTGTACTTCATACTCAAAAATTTCTAGTTGGCTCCTCAATAAACGTAATTCTTTAGCAGTGAAATCTCCAGGATAAAATTTCTCTGCAAGCTTGCAAATATCAACCTTAAATGCTTCAAAATTATTGGTAGGGTCTAAAGCAGAGCTAAGAATAAGAAATTATATTGTTCATGCACTGAATTTAGTGTTTAACTCTTCCAATTGATAATATATGGTATCATTGAATAAATCAACCTGGTAGTGATGCTCAACTGTAATATCATCATGTTGTTTAACAGAACGACGTGTACCAAATTTATAACGAGCATTCATATCTAGCATATCAATGTCATGTTTTTTTTTATAAAAAAAAATGCTAGCACTTGCTCAAAGAAAATATCCCAACCATCCAATCTATTTCTTAAGAACATCTTTCATACTACGAACTAAATTTATAGCAGTCAAGATATCTTAAGATTTAGTTGCTCCATCGGTAATCAAGGTCTCAACAACTATATAAGATGTATTATACATACTTATCAAGTCCAAAACAAAATCATAGTAAGAGCCCCTATGAGTAACTCTAGGCCGATGCAAGGTACCAATCTGATTCGCCCCTCTACCTATATTATGTTCACCACTATGCAACATATGTGCAATATCAATTGCTTGCGTAGATTGTAACTTACCATTGCGCTTAGGAGAAGAAGTAATACGATTGATAATTGAATTCAATGTTGAAAAGAATAGCCAAATGGGAGCCACATCTTTTGCTATTGCAACCAATGTTAGCAATTTCTAAGAAATAATGCTTGTAGTTCATTCCGTGCACCTCGCATGTTGTTAGCACCATCATATCATTGACCTCGCATTTTATCAATTTAGAGATCATGATTAATAAGAACTTGAGATATCTCCTTTTTAATTGTTGATGAACTAGTGTCTTCAACCTTCACAAAAAAAAAAAAAAAAATACCCTTACATTGCTCTCTCTAGTAAATGCATTTTTTGCTTCATCAACAAGAATACAATAAGTTGATTCCCCCAACTTCCTCACGAATTTTAGTTCTCACTTTGTTAACAAGAATGTGTAAAATCTGCTTTTGAATCGATGGTGATGTATTTTTAGCATTTCATGGGGCATTCTCTAAAACAACTTCAGCAACTTGATCAGTCAATTCGGCTGTATATTTTATCAATTCAATGAAATTGCCACGATTCATTGAGTCAATAGATTCTTCATGACCTCTAAAAGCACATGCTTGATATGTAAGCCACCGAATACTCTCAATTGCTGCCTTGAGCCATAACCAATTCTTCATAATTTGCTCTTTCAGTTATTTATGAATAACTTTCTCAATATGTTGAGATGATTTCATTAAGTCTTTGGCACATCGTACACAATTGTTATGTGATGAAGATGGTCCTCCAACATGAAGCAAAAATGCACAATTCTTTCCCTCGTTAATTCTTTTTCAGTTATTGGATCCATTAGTAGTTAGTGTAGACCCACTAATTGGATTCTTTAAAAAAAAAAACAAAGCATGATAAACAATATGCCTTATATGTTGAAGGAGAATACTCTAACCATGAAAATTGTGAGAACCAAGAATATTGAAACCGACGTCCTTGTTGCTAGAACATAACTCTTGGATACTTAAAAAGTTTAAGTTGATAAGGCCCCAATTTGATATAAGCCCTTTGAATCTCTTCACGTTGATTGATGAGGTGTTCACAAATTGGAATTTGTTTCCCTGGATCTCGTTCTAAAGAAGTGTCATCGAACTTTTTAGATTCAACTATTTGAAGTCCGAGATGAGTAAGTTCCTCAAAAATTGAAGTATCAATATTAGCTATATAAGGTGTATATTCTCATTTTTATTGCCACTTTTTCTGAAGAATGAATCAATAGTTTTTCTTCTTTAATAATTCAATTTGCAAAAATAAAACATATATCAACAACAAATATAAACAATAACAACCCAATACGTGACACAACACAATTCTAAAATCATAAAAACTTAACAAACAAACCAT